TAATTTGTTTTTAAATGTTCATCACCTTGGGAGTCCTTGTGGGCTGAGAGGGGTTACAGAAATATTTTAAATAAACAAACAATTAAATTGACCAGCTACATGGGAGAAGATAGCATGATCACACCCACCCAGGCTTTTTTTAAAAAAATCTAAATTGCTTTTAACAGTCATTTTTCTTCTAGTGGGATTTACTTTCTGTCAAAGAACTACACACAGAGAATAAAGGATATATTTATTTGAATGGCTTCGGAAGAAGTTACTGTAGGTATCCTTGGGTGAATTCAGCTAAACCTGAACTACCAAGCTTTACCATACTTTACATTATTCTTACCTAGCCCACTACTTTTATAGAGATTTGGCAGCAGTCTTAACTGTTTGCATAGGTCCGTGCTCTTCACACTGAGTTTGGCTCAACTGCAAATCTAATATATACACATGTCTGCCATGAAATTTTGGAACAGTATGGGAAAATAAGTATGGTAATAACTGCTATTTTTACATGCAGCCCAAACTCAGTAATTTAAGAGATAAAGCATATCCTTAACACAGAAACTACCTATGAGTTTATGACAGTGGTATATTTCATATTTATTCCATATATCTACGCTTGGATGACAATGCACATACTGACTGACATATACTTATTATTATTTTTAAATCTTGTATCATCACCTGGCACTACAGAAAAGCTGAATCAGACAAGTTGCAGTTAGAAATACGAGTATGAATCCCATCAAATATTCCAGAAAATCAGAGCCTCTGAATCTTATCATACTATTGAAGCACACACACTAACAAAGAAGTATGAATCAAGAAGCAGAACATGATAAGTCACTTTAAAAAAAAATCTACAACTCCCATAGTTCTCCAGCCAATGTTCCACAAAAGTGGAGGTGCAAGCTCCAATCATGTGATTCAAAGAGACCACAAAGAAGTAACTTTTTGAAGGTCTATCAAGACACAATAAAACTCATTTGTAATCAATGCTCATAATCAGATAAGTGTGCAGTAAAATCACCCTGCATTATGCATTCATTAAATAATATATAGCTACTACAGATTTCGGAAAAATTAAGCAATATCTGAAAGACAAGTGTGAAGTGCTGAAGATAAGTCCAAAGCAAATGTTTGAACACAAGGGTGACTTTGCTTTGGCGTTATATACCTTTCACATGCTTGATTCTGATCTAAACACTACTGCCTCCCTTCTTCCATGGATGAAAGTAAAGATAACTACTATTCAGTAGTTAAGTACGAGTACATTTTATACAGATGGTATTGCTGGTTAATCTGTCAAATATTGGAAGAATTTTGACTAGCAACAAAAAAACTAGCTACCCTTATCTTTGCCTTCTAATAATAATAATAATAATAATAATAATAATAATAATAA